GGGAAGAGAAAGACAAGAAAATGAAACAATTTAGCATGAAAATTCAGCAGGACAGAGCACTTACTGGTTGGTCACTGGACACCTTCCAGGAGTAGGAAGGGTCAGCTGGGGAACGCTTATCACATGCCTACGATGGTAACTCCCGAGGACACATTTTGGTCATAATTGTATCTTCCACACTTGATCGTTTAAGTAAATAAGTGGGTAAATTTTAACAACTGGAAAATAAAAGAAAATTCAAATGAGATTGAAGTAATACAGGCATTGAAAAACACCCTGGGGCTGGGGAAATGACTCGGCAGGTAAGGGTGCTTTTCGCCAAGCCTAGCCACCAACCTGAAGCTGTCACATAATGGACCTCACACCCTAACCCTAAAAACTGACTCCTGAAGGTTGCCCTCTGACCTCCACATGTGTAAACACAATAAATAATAAATCTAATTTAAAAAAAAAAATAAAGTCAATTATCGTAGACTAGTGGGGTGCACCTGGATCTTCCCCTGGGTCCCCACCTCTGCCTTCTGTCCCCTGTACCATCATCACCCTTTACTCCTCTGTCCTCTGCCAGAAACGCTCGGCAACTCCTGAGCCAGAGCTCTGCACAGGTGACTACCACTCTGTCGCCACTCGTCTGGCAGAGGAACACTCCTGATTATGTTGATCACAAACAAAGATAGCAAAATGCTTGCTCCCTGGAGGCAGGCTCTCCAGAGCTCACATCCCATTAAATGCACGTGGTGGCCACTGTCAGAGGGGTGAGGGGCAAGGAGGCAGCCAGGATGAGTACCTGCTGCATGCTCCGGTTTAATCTAATCCCAAAGAACAGTGTCGGGAGGTGTGGCCTTCAGAATGCAGTTGAGTCACATTATGTGTCCCTCTTTGTCCTCTTCCTTCTGTGTGTGAGGGTCAAGTTCCTGACCTCCAGAGGATGCCACTGTCTTAGAAGCAGACAGCTGCCCTCTCCAGACACCTGAGCCCTGATCGCAGACTTCCCAACAAATAAACTTCTGTTCTTCGTAAGTTACTCAGACTCGTGCATCCTGTTACAGCAGCACAGAACAAACGCGGGGCCCATTAGGACAAGATAAGAGAAAGACCAGCTCCACAATTATCCGATTAAAGCAAGCTTTATTTAATATTGGCCAGGAAGGTGGGCACTGCCCAGGTGTCCATACCCGGAGTTCCCAGAAAAGGGCCCCAGTTTAGGTCGGTCAGGAGCTCATAAAGGTACCCCACACACACAAGTCTACAGTACTTCCCACTTTTGTCCAATCGGGGGCAAGCATGCGTCCTGACGTACTTCCTACCTTCCTATCTCCCGCCTGTAACACATCCAGTGCAGCTGGATCAACCAAACTTGTTTCGGGAACCGTGTGGCTTGCTACATGAACTACAGCCTCCTGCATCTCCAGAGGTGTCTGTCCTTAGGCAAGTGGGGCTTAGAGGTCAACTTTAGCCCTTACAGAGCCTCTCCCTTGGCCAGCTCTGCCTTTATCGTGTGGGTTGTCAGGGAACACTCAGGTTAACTCTCATGTGAAGGTTTTTACAGGCAACGGCTGATCGATGTGTTAGAAGACAGACCTCAACTAGATGACGCAGAATGTAGCAGCCTGAGGTGTGTCTGGCAGGGCAGAGCTGAACCCCTCACCAGGCGCTTGCAATGGAGTTATAGTCTCCCATGTGAAATGAAGTTCCCCGGAGAAAAGCCTCACCTGTGCTAAAAATTCTACAAGGCTGTCTCCAAAGGTCATGATTTCGGAGTGTTGGAATGTTGCAGATTGTCCTACATTGCAATTACCTATCTGTGTGGTGTTTCCACAAAAGCACTTGAAAAATAAATACCTCGATTTATGACTTACATTCTCTAATTATAAAAGCCTCATGAAACTGCTGTTGCCATATTGAAATGTGGCATTTGGGATAACTTAAATCTGTCTTTCTGGGAGGTGGCCACTCATATTTGGCTTCAGAATAAATTCTTCTCTTATTCCCTTTGAGGTAAGAGTTGTGCTTTTGTAGGCTGGGCATGGTGGCGCTCACCTTTAGTTCCAACACTTAGGAGGCAGAGGCAGGTGGATCTCTGAGTTTGAGGCCAACCTGGTCTACAGAGAGAGTTCCAGGATGGCCCTTCAGCTGTGCAGCATCCTGGGAGTGGAGTCAGCCCAGCTCCATAGCAAGGCATCTCTTCTCTCCATGCATCTTGGCTATTTAGTCCCTCACACAGCTTCTGGAGTTTATTTTGTCTTGCTTTGGTTTGGTTTGGTTTGGTTTTTGGTTTTTTTGAGACAGGGTTTCTCTGTGTAGCTTTGGGGCCTTTTCTGGAACTCACTCTGTAGCCCAGGCTGGCCTCAAACTCACAGTGATCCGCCTGCCTCTGCCTCCCGAGTGCCAGGATTAAAGGCGTGTGCCACCACTGCCCGGCTTCTGGATTTTATTTTGGACAGCCTCAAAGCCAGTTTCTCCAGGACTCAGCACTGAGTCGGTGGTCTCAGTGGTCCAGCACTGGTCTGGTCCTTCATGACGATAACTGATACCCACCCTTGTCCTTGAGACTGAGTCTCCCTCTCCCAACATGTACTTAGCTCTTGTCAAAAGCCCTTGCATCTCGGTCACCAGCACCTCCTATCCCTTGGTATCAGCGGACCTCAGTCACCTTCCGGGAAAGAAGAAATGTGTTGGCACACATCCAGTGCCTCTCCTGTGCCAGCCACTGGGCCAGGCTCTAGGCCATGCTGTCCTTTTGTCTCTCCAGCAGTTGGGAAAGGCTCATGCAGTCTCCCAATATTCAGGCGAAAGGCCTCGTGCTCCTTTGGTTCCGAGACAAGGGCATTTCTTAAGGTCACCTGGCTGGAAGAGAGCAGGTTTGAAGACTGCTCAGGCTAGCCTGAGGGTTTTGGTAACACCAAGTCCCCTGCCCCAGGCTTCCCAGGGACTGGAGCCTCCAGTCCACAACTAAGCCTGGGTCCCAGCTTCCAGTTACCTTTCCTGCCACTATATCAGTCGGCCTCCCTCCTTCCCTCCCTCCCTCCTCCTTCCCTCCCTCCCTCCCTCCCTCCCTCCTCCCTCCTTCTCTCCCTCCTCCCCTTTCTTCCTCCCCTCCTCCCTCCTTCTCTTCCTTCTGTCCCTTCCTCTCCTCTCCTCTTTCCTCTCTCCCCCTTTCTCCCCACTCTCTCTAAGGTCTCCTGTAGCCCAGACCTCGAACTCATAATGTGGCCAAGAGATGACTTTGAACTCTTGATCCCCCTGCCTGCACTTCCCAAGTGCTAGGATTTCAGACATGTGCCACAGTCAACTTACAGGTCCTGGGGATGGAGCCCAGGACTCTGTGGGTGGTGGACAAGCACTCTACCAACTGAGCTGTAAACCCAGCCCTGTTCTTTCTTTGATGCTGGGGACTGAACACAAGGTCTTCAGCGTGCTGAATCTACTAGGCTACAGAGGTCCAGCCCTGCTGAGGGGCTTCCCGGAGCTGCTCACCACCGTCAACAGTGCCATGGCTCTGTCATCTCCCCTGGCTGGATCCCTCCCTTACACGCCATGGTGCCAGCCTGGCTTTGGAGAGAATCAAACTCTGGGGGCCACGCTTGAGCTTAAAAACAACTTGGCCACAGAGTAGCTTGTGCTGAGACTTGGCCCTCATGTCTCTGAGCCTCTGTTTTCTCCTACAAAGTGCCGTGAAGCAGAAGATCTACCCCCTCACAAGCCCCCACAGAAAAGCTCCCTTCTCTGCCTGGGTGTCTGGATGCATTGTTTTAATCTCTTTGTTGTAAAGCTAAGTTTAGGAGCAACCAAACCAAGATGGCACTGGCAGCGGCGGCCACAGATGCTGCTGCTGTGGGAATTTGCATTGTACACAAAACAGGATGTAACAATGTCACTGGGCATTTAGCGAAAAACGGCAGCCATTAGGCAACAAAGGCTCTGGAAATCATGGCTGCACTTGGAGGCATCTCCCAACAATGCCTCCTTTCGGGAGGGGCCCCAAGACCACCGCTGACAGTTTCCTTCAGGCCTCATCAGTGTTTTTCGTTGTTTAAAGACACACATTAATTTAGAGTCTCCTCCCATTCTCTCCGTAAATTACAGCATCCAGAAGAAGTGGCAGCTGCTGTAATTAAGACACAGTTAATTGCCCGTCTCCTTAATTGCAATGATAGGATTTTGACAGTTTGGTAAATAAGAATTGTTTGGTTTCCTCTGGCAACCTCAGTCTCAGCCGGCTCTCTCCTGCCAGTGCAGAAACACCCAGCTCTGGGACAAAGGGTGCAGTCCAACCCAAGAGGACAGGAGGGTGAGCATGTTGTTTCACCTCTCTCTGCCAGAGCCTACCCAGCACTGCCTCTTCCACTGGCCCCCCAGTAGTAGTGGGGGGGGGGGTCTCCACATCTCTCAGGAGCCTGTTCAATGGGAAGCACGGAAGCAGGATCCCTCCACTGTACAGCAGACATCCCCTTCACTAAGGGAAGCCAGAAAACACCCAAAGTCAGGGAGCGAAGCCAGGAACTCAGCTCAGCGTTTCTGACCCACAGCCTGCCTTCCCACTGGTCTTGAAGGATGTTTCACAGAAGCAGAGAGACTCTGGGGGGTCACACAAAGGTGTGTGCAGAGCTGTAGCGTTAGTGTTTGGTTGCTATGCCAAAAACGCCTGGCATAATCAACTTCCAATGGGGAAAAGATCATCTTGCCTCACAGTGTGCCGCTTTCAGCCTGTGGTCAGTTGGCCTGTGGCTGTGGGACCTGTTGGGAGAGAGCACATCATGTCATGAGTGGGGAGGCATGGACGCTTTCACCTCAGGGCCAGGATGTGAAACAGAAGAAGGCATCAGAGTCCCACTGTGCCCCTTCCAGGCACACTGCCAAGGACCTAAGACCTCCTAGTCGACCCCCACCTCTTAAAGATCCACCACTTCCCAGGACATTAAGCTGAGTACCTACTTCTTAGACATGGGCCATGGACGGTACTTACTTAACCAACCCTTTATCTTGACTGATGCTCTAAAAGTAAGCCAGAGACGGTATGTGTACAGAGCTCAGCTGATTCCCTAACAAACAGCATTTTGAGAAGAGTTTAAGTAGGAGTGTCGGGGGGAGAGTGTGAAAGTATGTGTGCATTCGTGTATGTGCGTGCACATGTGTGTAAATGTGGAGGTCAGAGGACAACTTGCAGAAGTCGGTTCTCTCCCTCTACCCTGTGGATTCCAAGAGTCAGGCTCAGATCATGAGCTCGGTGGTAAGTTGTCTTAATGCTCTAAGCCATCTTCCCAGCCCCCAAACTGGAGTTTTAGGATGCAAATAATAATAATAATAATAACAACAACAACGACAACCATGTCATGATTGTAGTAACTGTTCCATAGAGGTTATACAGCAAGCAATCTTATTTTACATTTTACGTAAACTTCTTTATATTTTTTTATTTTTTATTTACATTTCTCTATTTCTATAGGCTTAATTGTATGGGAACCATGATCCATATTCCAGACTTTCTTTTTGTTTTTGTTTTTTCGAGACAGGGTTTTTCTGTGTAGCTTTGCACCTTTCCTGGAACTCACTTTGTAGACCAGGCTG